GTCTCCCTCCTCATACATAATTACGTATAGTTTCTGAAGAGGTGAAATGTCACATTATGAAGAGATGGAAAATGCATTAAGAGAAAATGAGTTCATCTTCCTGATACAGAACAGTCCCTGCACAGTAATGGGATTATGACAGCATTGGACATTTGAGAAAGTCTATACTGCTGTCTCTGCTCTGTTTGACTTGTATACAAATGGATTTCCGTTCCCAGTAATGGCTTTCCCTGAGCGACTGCAAATGTTAAAATGGGAAATAAAAATTAAATTTTGGAAAGATATGTGGTGCCATAATGACTCAGTGACACTGAAGCTTGCTATGCAGACAAAAATACAGGTACTGAAGTATCTCTGAGGTGGTAACATCTGTGGAGGTCTCTAAGAGGCAGAAACCATCTAAAAGTAGAGGACAAAGTTGTGGCATAGTTTGCATGTCTGCTATTTCCACCTGGAGACGGGCAGGAGGAGATAAGGAGCTGGCAGAGGTTTTGCTCTGCCCCAGGATCCTGGCTGAGGAAAGGTGCAGGGAGGGCTGAAAACCTGTTAAGTCAATTTTTACCGAAGAGCGTAGCAGATGACTCATCTCCCTAAACCCTTCAGGCAGGGTAAATGATGAAAGTGCCCTTTAGCACAGGGTTTTCACTGCACCCTTCATTGATGTTGACCATTGTATTCATTCTGATGGGCAGTGACAAATCTTATAACTATCTAGTGTAAATCTATAAGCAAGTTTTTCTGAAACGTTGTATACATATGGACTTCATAATAGTACTATTACAAGTATGTAATATTGTGCATATATGTAGACATATACTATAGGAAACACTAGCAGGACAGCTCTTTTGGGATGTGGTTCAAGCAGATTTATACATAGTGTAACAGATTAGACACTTCTTTCTGAAGACCTTGGGCCTCTCTGTAGGTACCGGCAGGTCTGTGAAGCTTCACTGCCGGTGTTCGAACAACTTAGGAAGAAAAGTTATTCCTAGGCATTTATAAATTGTTTCTGTAAATAAAAGTCAATTTCCTTTACAATTTGCAAAATGAAATACAGCAAAAAGCGCCACATTAAAAAAAAAGGCAAAATCCAAAATTCATAAAAATGCCAGGAATCAATAGATTAGACACGCACATGGGATAAGATTTAGACAGGATGAGTTTGCTTTCACTTTTGGAAAGAAAGCATTGTTTTCAGGAGCAAGAAATCTCCAATTTAGTGCTGTGGAATGAGAAAGGATAAGCAAGAAATCAGCATGAAAATTGAATTAGAATGCGTAATAATATGGTTCTGATAGAAAAGTAAATCTTGGTAATGACTCATCAGAAGAGCCACACATCAACTGGAGCGGTACACAACTGTCTCACCAGCCCAGTCCCCTAGTCACTACTCTCATCTTTTCTTTGACACATACGCAGTACCACCTCCTCTGCACACATTGTACACCGCCATTACCCGTTCTGGCAGGCTTTTACTACTCTTAGATTGGTTTATATGGCTAATTGTGAATCTCATTCTGAATATCTTAATCCACTAATTCTGGAGGGCATTGCTCTTGGACAGAACCCATGGATTTCATGGAGGCTTCGGGGAGGCTCTGGAGATGACTGGTATATGGCGTCTTTCTGAACTGCAGCAAACAGGAACTTTTTGTCTCTGGCTCTGGAGAGGCACGGAGCGCCACTGTCTGCACTTTCCTGTTCTACTTCATGACACAAAAACGCTCCACCCCACCACAACTGAAGTGCAGTCTTTACATACAGAAAGAATATCGATGCCTTCAAACTCTTCTTGCTGGTCTGTCTCTAGTAGGGCACCGATGGCAAGCAGTAGCCCACAAATATACCATATAGAGCAAGTATTTTGGACCTATGATACAATTTATATTTATTACTTTTACTGAAATCACAGAATCAAATATTTTAAGAGTACAACTGGTAAATTATACATATGTAATAGTTTACAAAACAAAATATTGGCCTTCAATGTGTCATAGTACAGTGTAGATCTTGTACAATTCAGTTCAAATGAATTTATATTTCGCATATTATTTATGATGTAAACTGGCTGACATAGTAGTGCTCTAAAAATGCTAACACTCACCAATTAGACACATACTAGGATGAATTTTTTTTTTCTGACACGTCTTAGTTTTTTCAAAGGGTACTGGTATTTCAGCCATGGTATCTGCAATGCACGAAGTGACACTTCCCAGAATATGCTGAGTGTATAAAGAGGCACATGAAATAAACCGAGCAAAACCAAACGCTGCGTGTTCCCGTTAGTCTGCCCTACAATACCTCTCTCGTTTTATTTTATCTGATGGTAGGCAGGTGACCTGGCAATAGAAATTAAATGGATTTATTGCTATACAGGAGATTTATACGGTCTTCAATTTACTTGAATTCAGTATATGATTTCCTGTATCTGATGGGATTTTAACAATGCATATACGCTTGACTGTCAGAGTCATGTTTCACGAGTATGTTTCATACGATAAACTATCTGAAAATTTCACAGTTCACGCGATAAGTTGTGTAAACCAGTTCCTATAAATTGAAAGACAAGTTATGCCGTCACTTAAAGTGGTGTAAGCCTGAAGCAGCTCCTGCAAAGCCAAATAATGGGATGAAGTTATTCAGAATTTATACAGGTAGAACTAAAAGCGGTGTAACTCTTTTGGCCTGTGAGTGGGAGTAATGGAGACCCAAATACTCGCTTGTGTATGTAGATGTATGTGTCTATATATACACCAGTATACACACGCACACACAAAAAATACGCATTTGCATTTAGCTATGGTTAAGCTACACCTGCGCCCATCTATGTGTTCCAATAGGGGCTGAGCAAGGCTGGTGTATGTGGAAATGGTTTTAGTGTCCTTACAGTGACTGGGAGCCTCTACAGACAGCTCTCAGGTCAAATGACACCGGGAGCTTTGTTTCTGACCTGCAGCTCTGCCATGCACAGAGCAGCGGGGCGGCAGCAGGGTGTCTGGTGCGGTGTGTCTGGATAGAAGTTCTTACACCACTCACCTGGATTTCGGGCATTTCAAATTTTGTACGCTATCGCTGAAACCTTGCATTTGTAATAAAATCTTCTAAATCCCAAAGCTAGATTCTGTGGTGTCAACGGAAGAGAAATTGTCAGGTCCTCAGCTAAGAGTCGTGACCGGTACATGATAAACTAGAAATATCCGCATTTACAGCGTTATTCCAAACAAGAATGTTGAACTAGCTTTACTAGTTAATATCAGTGCACCCACAGTGCACAACCCTTCTGAATTTGTTACCTTCTGAAATTGTTACAAATAAGTATGAATGTAATGATGCACTCTGGCAGCTCTATAAAAATTTAAAAAAAGGAACAAACCCCTCCAAACCAGCAACTTTTTTTCTTAAAATTGCAGCCCACACTCAGAGAACCAAATTTTGTCTCTTGCCATAGGCTCCATCTACCTCAGTGACAGAGAATGGCACGGCATTCCTTAGCACAAAACACTCACCTGAACATATTGTTGAAACCCCACAATTATTAAGGCTTCGTCCTTACTAGTCCTGTTTAAAGCCTGCCCTAAAGATCGTCAAAGTCAAGGCTTTTAGCAATTTCCTGGCATTTTGGAGTGGGTCTTAAGTGAGGAAGCATCATCCACTGGCCATGGCAATTTCACCTAAAGCCTTGTGGCTGGCTCTGGGTCTTGGGGAGTGCCCGGGTGGCAGCAGGCACTGGGCAGAGAGGCTGAGCTGGAATTTAACTGGTGTGAATGTGGGCACTGATATGCAAGCTGACTTTCAACAGTTTGAAATAGATTATTTGGGAGTCTGTAGTACTGCCCTTATGGCGAAGTGGCTACAGAAGTCATCTGTATTGTTAAATAAACTGACCGTATGTTTGTCTATATTGTGTTTTTTTCCCTTACAGTAGGCCCATAAGTTCCCTTGAGTTCGGCAGTAGTTGGACTGGATGAAAAGTAGAAGCAAACAGACACTGCTATTTTCAAGATAACACTAGGAACACATGCTTTGCTGGCTTTTTTGTGCCTAGCTTTGCCTGACACAGTGCGAAGAGCTAGAATACAATGAAGTAAAACTTTGCAAAGCCTTCCAAATTGGGATTTTGACTTTTATAGCCATATATACATATTTATATATGTCTATAAGTGGTGGAAAGACTGAAAAAATTGCTTTTTGAATGGTTCAGTCTTCGTAAACCAAATCATACGTTATCTTCAGCTGTATTTTTCAAAGAGGCACCCCAGAGTCTCTCTGCAGTGTTTGCACTTAAACATAAGAAGCCGCATGAGAGAAGACTCACTTGACACCCTGACAACTCAGAGAAACTTCATTCACATCTGGAGGACTCCCATTGACCAGAGGCCTGAACTTGGCCTGAACTTGCTCCCACTGACTCCTACCAGCTTTGGTGGTAAATCACGGAGGCGTGCAGCATGAGCTGCACCCACCTGTGCGAACCAAATCTGCTGTCTGACTTCTTTAGAAGCTGGTATGGGGTTATTTTTTGGTCCAGAGACCCTTATGACTTGCTAGTTGAGAGATCTTAGAAGTGAAGTGTAACCAGGAGCTTTGAGTGTCCTTGAGGAGGTGTCACAAAACTAAAAATCTACAACTTCTCTAAGAAAAAGCTGGTAGCGGAAGAAGGATATACATCTATACAGTGTGCACACATGTATACACATATACTCCTGTTTCATGCAGAAAGCTTTCTAAATAAAAACATACAAAAAATAACCAGTGCCATACATTATGTAAACTCACAAGGTGTACTTTCAACACAAATTTGAAGCATAAATTAAAAGAGAGCAAGAAAAAGAGAGACGGAGACGATAGCAAAACATTTTAAATATAGAATTTGCACAATTGGTATTTTTGTTAAATAAGAATAAATAAATTCATTACATCCGTTCACATACCAGTTGTAAAAACAATAAATTATTTTATAACAGTTTCAGTGCTGTGTTGCTTTTTTTCTTTTTTTTTTCTTTTTTTTTTTTTTTTTACAATTGTGATTAATCCACGAGATTATTCCCTCTCCCCCTTGTGATAAAACTGTTTCCACAGGAGGGCAGCTAAATTTAATTTCTTGTATACAGTCAAACCAAAAATGACAGCTTTTTTCCTAGCGAGATTGTCTTATTTGAGAAGCAGATGCCCTAAAACCCACCGACGCTTAGGGGTCCAACTCCACCTATGGGTGCTGGAGATGCGTCCCAAAAAGTCAGCAGTGAATTTAACACTGAGGATTGTTTCTTTCTATGCAAAGAGCAATCGTCTGGGTTTCTATCCCCTGGATGCATTTTATGAATCCTGTTTGGCAACCCTCGGTAGTAATGTAAACAATGACATAACAGTGTGAGTGACAAGGAATTTAGTTGAGAACAGAAGTTGAAAGGACAAAGTCACATACCTTGTACCAATTTTTCATTTATCAGTTACATGAGACAGCAATGACTGATAAAAGCAAGGTTTGAAATTGGAATCTGATTACAAAGAATAGCTAAAAAGCAAGTGCAAACTAGAGCAGACTGACCTAGCATTAAATCACACTTCTAGGCTTGCTTCCTTCGTCTGTCCCCTTTGCCCTCTCACCATCTACAGGCAACTGCTTTTTGATCATGCCAATTTGCTTCATTACTACACTGGTGAAAAGGGAAAAATCGCTATAGTGGTTTGTTCGCATATTTATTTATTTTTTATAAATAAACTCTTTCTATGAAAAAAGATACTCGATCTAAGAAAGCTTTGAATTTATACCCGCGTATGGTATTACTCTTCTGGAGCCTGAACAGCATCCAAAAGCTTTACTCATCCTGTTGAATATATAATAAATTATTACTATGATGCAAACACAAATACTTGCACATTCTGTCTCTATTATGATAAAACACAGGAAAAACAAACGCCACTTCATACAGCAGCTGTATGTCAAGACAAATGTTAACTCTATGCTGAGACACATTAAGTCTCCGTATGTTTTCTCTCATGACGGTTTCTATTTGTTATGAGTTTTTTTGAGAGGTTCTAGAACATGTTTAATACATATACATACGTATAAAAATTAGATTACTTGAAAGGAAAATAAGACACTTCAAAATGATCTTCTGTTAATAGGTAGAGAAGGCCTAAATCTTTACTTTCTAGAACTCTGAAACTATTCAGAGCCCTTGATCTGAGTTCTTAGGGTGGGATCACAGATTAAGTGGGGAATTTTCCTCAAGATCCACAATTTTTCATAGGCCTACTCCTAATAAAAGGTCACACCATTCTTGGAAGCTGAAGACGACTAGTAACATCCGTTGGTAATTCATTTTGACAGAGGAGGAGGCCCTGCCCTCTTTCTGTTTATTTAGAACAGGGTACACAAATAGATACTTCTCCAGGTTTCATACTTGCAGATGTAGCAATTCTACGCTGTTTTGAAATCATCACATGCTTTCTTAGGATTCATACAAACATGCCACACTTGCAAAAACATGTTTGTGTCAGCCCGGAGTGAGTCCTGCCCTGCTTGCTACACAGGCCAACAAGTTTTCTCTCCTGACCTCACGACTGGGATTTTCAGAGGAGCCTGGGGGATTTCAGCGCTCGAGAACCACTGACTTACAGCTGCGAGGCTTGTCTGAAAATCCTCCTGCAGCCTCACACTCGCCTGTGTGGATGAATGAAGGAATGAAAGGCAGATGAGATTCTTTTTTCAACAACGTATTCCAACCATTTCTTTCGGTACCTGTTATTCCAGGGCTTAATTCAAAGCCCGCTGATATAAAAGGAAGCGGTTTTAACAGGGTCGCTGTCAGGCCCCCACCTGGTACCTGCATCAGGTGAAATCCCCATCCTTGGTCACAGAACTTCTGCCAGGCAACAATGGGATTCAGAAGTTGCTGCCAGTGAAAGCAATTACCTGCCACTGCCTGTACTGTGGAAACAGTCTTATTGGTATAGGGCAAGTCCTCCACATCCTGATGTGGTTTGACTTCCTAGTGACCCCTCTTCCTCCCAGATGGGGTGGATATACAAAACATGAATGCCTTCTGTAGCTTTAAAACAAAGCAAAACAAAAACAAAACCACACACAAAACAATCAAGACAAATAGTTACAAACTTTTGCTGGTAAGATGAATACCAGAGTTAGACATGATGGACAAAACAGTGACAAAATATTAACTGCTTGCTGTGTTTTTTTGACCTTTATAGCCTCTTCAGAAGATCTAGGTACATTACACATTGTTAGATTCAAGGTGGAAGCCATAGAGAAAATAACAGAGAAAGCAGTTGAACACAGCCTCAGAATATCTGAGTTTAGAAGACACTTGATTATCTTACCTGTAATTTTTGGTTCTCTAACTAGTTTCTACAAAATACAGTATGCCTTTGTTTTATGGAAAGAAGAAGCTAGCAGCTTTTGTTCATCGTCAACAAGGACCCCAAGCTGTGACACAGCTGGAACTGGCGGAAGGTTTACAAGCGAAGTGGACACAAATTCCTTCTAGCAGCCAAATCCTTCTCCTGTGTGTGTGTCTCTGACACACACAGGGTGAGGAGTCGCTGATGGTGCTGGTATTTCAGCAATGCACATGCGGGAATCCCTGGTCTGCAAGCTGCTGCACTGCTCCTTCTGAGAACTTCTTGGTGGAAACACAGTATTTGTCATAGAATAATGATCTGCTGCCAGGATATTCCTAGCACGAAAATATGTTTCCTTTTGTCAAAACCAAAAGGTATTGCTTTTTAAAACCAGCAGCAAGCTTTTTATTTTCCAGTAAAACATCTGCGGCCCTTTCTGAAGAATGGATCGAGTCCACAAGGGCTGCAGAGTACTTTGGTCAATCACTCTGCTTATGTAGTTTGTCTTTTGATATTTTAATAGAACCAAGTGATATAAAGTGACATACCAAATGAAAGGTATTTACAAAACAGTATAAAATAAGCTACTGTGGTATCATGGATACATGTGACGTTTTCTAAGGACATACTGTATTAGAGGTAGGTGAAAAAGGGGAGATGATTCTGTAACCTTCAGATATCTCAGGATCCTCCATTCACTAGTTTTTCTTCTTTTGCATTATTTTATTTTATATTTTTGCAGACACAGAGGGCTTGTAACAACTTTAATGCTTAGTTTTTTGACATATTAAGATTACCCTACTATTATTTAAAGCAGTGCACATCTTCATTTGGTCCAAATAGGCAGATTCTGCCCATAATTTGAGACTGTAGGTAAGTACATTGAAGCCTTTTGCTTCTCTCTGTCTGGGCAGACCTAATACCAGTATGTCAACAATGGCTTACTCAAACCTCTTTTAAAGAAGATCACAACCACAGGTTAACACTTTTTCAACAAGCACTGTTTGAATGCTGACGGTCTCTGAGAGAGAAGACATCCCTTAGCTAATTTTCCATGCCCGTCTTTGCACTGGACAGTCCTGGTGTGCCATCCTGTGTCACATGTTCGAGAACAAGAAAGCCACGGCCCCGTAACCCAGCGGGGTTGCGTGAGCTGTGGAGGTACTTTGCTGCTGCTGCTGCCGCCGCCGCTGGTGACAGAGTTAGTCATTTGCCCTTGCTTCTTTGGCACGAAGAAACTGTAGCGGACATCCACGGGTTGAGTTGGATCAGTGGCCAGTATCTGCACAATAAGAACCTCTTTCGTGGCGGAGTGTCCCATCGCGTGCAAGAAATCGTCTTTGTGGCTCCAGCCGCTGTAGTTCATGACAGTCCCGTTGATGTCAATGATTGTTTCTGAAGTGGAGATCATGTATTTTCCATTGACAAGGTACTCACCATTTTTCTTTTTCAGGGCCAGGTAGGCAGTGAACCTGCTCTGGTCCTTAGTCTTGAACTGACGAACTTTGATGTGGGTTGCTCCTTCTGGGATTTTCACTATATCTGTGTAGCCCTTGCTGAATGAAGCAAAAAGAAAAAAGAGTATTCAGTAGCTAGTGTGAAATAATCCTCAATTCTTACTGCAAAGCCTAAGGAAGTCACTGGCATGACACATTTTGCTTCATTTTAGTTCAGGCCCTGAATCCATCTGGCTTGAAGCTCATCTAAGATTAGTTTAACCAGGTTCCACTGTTTGTCTATTGTATTGCTCTTTACGCTCTTGAAGAAATATCTACTGCACTTATTTCAAATTGCTTAATCTTTAGCTCTAATAATGATTTTACGTGCATCAGATACAAGAGGAATGAAAAATAACAGATAGCTTATATATTTCAGCAAAGGGTGGGAGATATGAAATACGATGCATGCTTTGCCTGCCAAAGGAAGATAATGAGATATGCATTGGTTACAGCTGTTTCTTGCTGTCTTTGCTATAATGATGATTAAGGAAAGCATGAGCAGAGAAACAGCTGGATGGAGGTACCTTGGGATCATTTAGAAACAGTCTTGATCATTGAGAAAAAATTTGTTTACTTTGAAATTCATAAAGCTGAAGATTAATTGTCAAGTGTCGAATACAAGGTGCACCCAAATGTTTAATTTGTACCATCACAGAGTTCTCTCAGTTGCTACTTATGAAGTAACTTAATGCAGATTAGAAAAAGATATTTAACTCTTCTATGGGAAGTGACAAGCATTCAAAACCTGCAAGTGTGCTGGAACGTATCACTATCTCAAGTATGTTATTTATTTTAACTTTACTGATATATAGAAAAAAATCTAAAGACTATACATATCCATAAGGTACCAGCTGGACTTTGGAGACATGCCTTTTCATTTCTAAACCTGTGACATAACCATTCTTCAAGTATCTCATACCTGAAAAGTTTAGTGCTGAAACTTCTAGAAAAAAAGGAATGAGAAAATATTCTAAAAATATATAAAAATGAAGGTCTCTCCCTTGGGGTCTAAAGAACAGACGGATAATTTTGAGAATTGTTTGTCTGCACAAGTAGAGACTGCATAGACTAGAGATTAAATGCTTGTGCTATTCCCCCACTATTTTCAGCTGTTATGGGACAATAACTAGAACTCTATTGATTTAGCACCTCCATAAACCTGAAGGAATATGGTGCAAAAAACAGGCTGGGGGGGACTCTGCTCTACAGTACTGCACAAATATTTTTACATAACAGTTGCCAAAATAACTGTTATTAACATCGAACATGTTATTAAAGTTGCAAAATCATTTGTTTAAAAACTAAAAGCAAAGCTGGAGAATTTAAGTCATCTGCACAAAGAACTTTAACACTCCACGTGCACAGAGAAGCACTTACAGCCTTAATTCTCCTGTTTCACAACTTCTGACTATTTGGTGTTACCGCCTTTTAAGAAAGTTCTTAGGAAACAAGTTTTCCAGAAGATTATGTTTTGACTGCTTTAAAAGAAAAAAGTACAAAAAAAAGTTATTATGGCAATTGTCTGCAATGGGAAATACTATTTTCCCCTTGTACATTCAATAGTTTCCTAGTACATTTTAATGTACAGGTTTCTACAGTTTGGTTTCTAATGGACAGCAATGCAGGAGCTGCTATTTTTCAGCGGAGAAAAGATAATTTTACTACAGCCACTGCTCTTTCACATGTATAAACAAGTTTACAGACAATAAAGTTTTCACTATTTTAATGAGGGGTTTATTTTGAAGTCAATTATTCACATAAAGGAATTGTCTCAAGCAATATTTCCAGCAAAACATAAATCCTCGTCACCCCAGTGTTAAATCAAAATCAAGTCAGACCATGCTTGTTACTTACAGGTTGACTCTTCCTTTCTAAACAGGACAACTTTTTGAACGCATTGAGGTTGAATTAATATTTTACTCTCTGACAAGTCTCATTTAAGTTAATGGCATGATTTGAGGAGTAAGATGGTAACTTCACAGGAATAATTATAATAGAATCTCACCATTTCCAAATATATCTATGCTACAAATCTGGAATCACTGAAATTCATGGAGTCCCTTTAACATTTTTGCTGGAGCCTGGCTTTCAGCACAAGGATCACTACTGAATCACATGAAGAATAAGTCACACTGTCTTCTTCATTTAGACATCCCAGACATTTCACTATTTACAAATTGGAAAAGATTTGGTTTATATAATAACTAATTTGGATGGAAAGTCATTCTTTTTGGCAGAGGTGTTTTGGCATCCTTAGGTGAGTAATCATTGGTTTACCAGGAAGAAGATTAGTTATGTTTATTTTTAGAATAAATTCACTCTCAAAGCCATTTTTGGCTGCTATTAATCAGTATGTTGAAATGTATAGAAATAAAAGGTCATTTCAGGAGTCAGATTTCAACTTCTGGTAGCTTTCACTATGCTACATAGGAATTTGGAAGATATAAACCAAAATCATGTTTATGTGCATTTGAAAAGATAGTACACTAATGCAGTCACAGATATTGAGTAGAAATTGTCAACTGAAAGTTTCTAAGAGTAGATCACTCCAGCAGTCCTGTGAGAGCTTGGAATCTATATAAATGATAATTTATATATGAATCTTTAGAATTAAAGAGGGAGGGAAACAAGAGTTCAGACAGAAGGCAGACTTACTTGACATTGTTATCTCACTACAAAGCTTACTGATGCTCTCAATATGGTCAAGGAAAATCATTGGGCCAATTCCTTTTTATTTTACTTGTATTAAGTTTTATTACAGTTAAAAGCTGAACTCTGACAGAAAAATGTCTTAAGGATAACTGCTATAAATATTTTGACTTTAAAAAAAAATCCATCTGGAGATTGATATTATGCCAATGGACATGAAGGGATATAGTAAATACCACGTTTAAACCTATGTTTACTTTTGACATCTCATCTAGTCATCCAAGCTCCACATATACTCAGCAGTCAGAAAATGTATTTTTAGGGTATAATCCCTCTCAGCTATGAAGGAAGACTTTTACAGCTGTGCTCTGATACTATCTGCTTCTCTCCACTAACTACACAAAGAATTAGTGTCATTAAATCAGGTGGGATGTCCTCATTGCCATTCAACGTTAGATGAAATGAAACACATTCTCAGCATGTACTTGCTAACACAGCACCACCTGGGAAATGCAAAGTTTTGGATACACCCAGATTATTCTGACCCCAACAACTTTCTGATTCACTCCTCTCTTCCCTTTCCTCTAGAAACCACGAACCAGCTGACCAGCAAGATTAGTGAGTAACACCAGATGTTATGCCTTATTCTAGGCAAACTCTCTATTACTGGGTGCTCACCTGTATCACTGGCACTTTGTGTCAGAAATGGACTGGGTAGAGTGTTTTGCCAGTTGATTATTTGCCAGTTTCAGGGTATTGTTAAGAGGCCAGCTGTAAACATCTGGAAAGTGCAATAAAGCACAGGCAATGTGCTTTTTTTTTTTTTCAATCTTCATGTGAAAGTAAATTGCATTTAGAGACAGCAAGAAAGGAAGCACATGGCAGAGTTACTGTTTGCACAACAAGGTACATTTACTAGTACTCAAGATCCATACCTCTTTTTGGTAAAGGTTCCCATGACCTTTGTGCAGCTGGAATTGTCTCCTCCACACACCCCGCATTTGTCATACTGGAGCTTTGAACCGATGATGCCATCACAACCCGTTCGGATGCATTTTCCCCGGACGCAGACTGAGTTACTGTACGGTCGACATTCAGTACCATCAGTTACCTAGGCAATCAAATCACTGTTAGTTAAAACCACCATGGAAAAGATTTGTTTTTGTGAAATCTGGCTAGAAAAACCCAGTTACTTATTTATGTCACTCATACACAACAGGGCCTACCCTGACAGCCCAGACCGAGTTTCTCTAACATTCTCAGCACAAAAGCTGATGAAATTCAGCAAAAGGCTGAAAGCAATAACAGATAACTCCACCATAAGGCACTAAATTTACCCTGGCTTTACTGATGTTCTCACAGCTTATTAATAATGACAGTACTTGTAAATAGCTGTGCATTTGAGCTATCTATATCTAAATGTTAACCTTCATAACATTTCAAGGCAGAAAACTGCAAATGTAGGAGTGGAAAACATTTAAGTTTGCATTGCATCTGATAGTATAGATATAACTTGTGGTCAGTTTGTTCTAATTGGCTAATTGTTTTAAATTAATTGTCTCCGTAAGAGTTACTCTGGACTCCCTTAACATAACTCAAGGTAAGACTTACTCTTTTGCTCATATTACTCCTTGACCTCCAGAAAACGCCAGAATGACAGATGACTCTCCGGGCAGAAAACCCTTTATCCACTACTGAAAACAAACTAGTGCAGAGCTCTCTAAGAGGCCCATATTTTTCATGAATTTACGTATGGAGATGTGGAAAAACTGCTCTCATTCTAGAGGCCAATTCTGGTCCTAATACATAATCAGTGGGACAAACCATTAAATCTAATCACACGGTTAAATCTTTGAATCATATGATTAACTTCTTTTCCCTTGTATGGAAAGACTTCTAAGACACAGGACGCTTCTAAACTGGAGCATGAAATCATGATTGGAGATGCCATTACCTTCTGAGAAAATACCACATAATAGCCAGTTCCTTTGGCTCGGCAGGTGAGCTTGCAAACGTCTCCGGGAAGTACTCCAGCATACTTGGGGACCCATTCAACAAATGTCTTGACACCCTTTGCGTCAGACTGATAGCCATTCCTTGCTTCACACTGCTCTTGTCGGAAAGATTTAGCTGCAGAATTATTCACATCATTAGTGACTATTTCAGACCGTGCTGCAAATATCATTATGCCCATCTATTATTCCAATTTCTTTTTTGCATGACTTTTAGGTTACGTCACTTCACCTCTTTACTTAGAACTGGCCTTCAAATCCTTCAACTCTTTTACCTTGGAAATCTTCCCATGACATAATAAGCATTAAAGGACTAAAGTTTGCATTACGGTTCATTTTCCAGGAATGAAATTTTTTTTGATTCAAGAGTTCTTTCTGTATGGCGTCAGGGTGGGGATGGGGGAAGAATTACGGTATTGTATTTATGATGAACGTCTTGCCTTGGTAAAGACATTTTGGAGTAAATATGACGGAGCTTTGTTGTTTCCTTTCACGGTAGATGTTCAATATTTACTACTAATGAACACAGAGGCTGGAGCAGGAAGGCACTTACCATTTGCTGGGCAGGGTGTGACGTTGCAGGAGCGGTAGATGGCCCTCTTGCCGGTGCAGTATCGGCCGTTGTTTCTAGGAGCTGGGTTATTGCAGTGACGATAAGCAAACTGAACTCCTCCACCACAGGTACGGGAGCACTGGCCCCAGGGTCCCCAGGACCCCCAGTTACCATGGCTTGAAGCCTGAAATATATGGCAAAGCAGGAGGTAAGGACATCATCTCAAAGTCACTGCTAAAGTTTTCCTCAATTGAAGGTGATTCCTTAGTCATTTTAATAAGGGATAACATATCTTAGGAGCCTTCTTTCCCCTAGTGGAGTTAATTTCTGTCTTTTATCTGCACATTGATGACATCTTGTTTGACACTGTGCATGCTAAGGCAACACTAGGTCTTGCTCTGCACAGGTGCCTTCAGCCTGTTTCGTGAAGACACCCATGCACCAGAAACAGCGCCCGCCGTCTGATGTTCTGCTCCCTTATTTTTTGCTATTCCTACCAATAGGGCCCCTTAAACTAGCTCCAGGGAATTCGGCTCACAGAATATGTTCATAAAGCTAATCTATGATTAATTAAATGCAATTACTGTGATGTGTAGGTATTGCTCTGAATTACTGGCAAGAGATGGAGTTGTCAGATATAGTTTGCAACTCTGCTAAACTGGCTACCTAGAAAGAGTATTGCAACAGCATGTAGAAGTACATAATTCCATAAAAAAGGCTGTTATAAGGGCTGTAGCTTGATTGAATGACTCTCATAGTTCACAAATACCTTCACAAAACTCTACAAGTCTGTAGCTCTTCTGTGGGTGTAACAGAAAGGGTAGTGCTACTGTCTACTCTGTAAATTTAGAAGTATCTGAACTGTGCAGTGGACTGTTCTCATGAGCATGGGGACTCTTCAGATGCATAAAGTTGACAGAGGTGGTTCTGTCACTAGAGGTACAAACTTTTCTGCTCTAGAAGTTATACTCTGGATGAACTTCATCCACCTTTCTCTTCACTAGAGTGAGGGCCCTGGGGTCTTTCAGATGAGGGCTGTAAATTAAATTTACAGATTTAATTTACCTTGCAGTCCATTGACATGAAGTCAGGAAGCCAAGAATACGTCCTTGACAATCTTTCTGTATGAGACCTGACTTACTGAATGGGCAAATCCTCTACCCTGAAGGGATGCTCCCAGCTTTCCAGGAACGAAGGCTTTCACACTTCAAGAAGAAAACATGCTTCCTGAAACTCAGCAGAGTTTTTCCTGTATCTCTCAATAATAACACTCTGATTACATGCTAAAAAATAAGGCAGCTTTCAATCTGACTTCCATAAAGTCCCTTTCACTCCCACAAAAATCAGCGCCTTCGAGGATCATGCCTTCTAAAACTCCCTAAGGTCACAGCTGGTAACTTACTGAGTAGTATTTCTTCTTGGTTTTGTCAACACATTTTCCCTGGAGGCAGATCCTCCCTTTTCCACATGGTGTTCCCTCCACAGCAGGCAGCTTCTTAGTCAGACAGACCATCTGACCTTGGCGCACAACTGCACACCAGAGGCGTGAGCACACGTCCATACCGGGACACACTGTGTATTCAGGTCCAAACGCCAGTTTGCACTGACGAATGGCATCGTAGGTTTGTCCTGGAAGCTCCTCAGGGCCCAGGATCTGCTTTCTTGGTTGGTCCAGCAAACAGTTTCCTAAAAGAGCAAACCAACCTATTGTTACTCATTTCCTAGTTTTCTCTGCAGCGCTGCAAATCTGTCACTCAAATCAGGCAGACCGATAATGACATCGAACCTTATTCAGAGGATGCTGATCTGAATGGAAAGGCTCTCTGAGGTGCCATCAGGTTTTGGACAAGGTCATACTATTGCAACTGTGTTCAAGCTCAGCAGCATACCAGGTGTTGAGCTGCTTATTTCCAATCTGAGAGTGTAAATGAGTTTTACTTGGGTCCCATTTGGCCTTTTGTCCCGGTTTCCTTTATTTGAATTTACTCTGAACACATTCCACTCTATTTATCAGTTTGTGATTTAATGAATTATCAGGACTCATAGCAAAGTAAGCAAAGGTGTCATTTGAATTTTGAGATAGAACATCAGAAGTGGTAAAGCTTCTAAAGGAATGACAGAAAAATCACAAAAAAACCCCAGACTTGTAGCCAATGAGGCACTTAAAAAAAAAAAAAGAAAAACACCCAACAGATCAAAGGGAAATACAAGCTGCGTATCAAAACTGTTGTTGGCAGTAAATCTGGACTGGGCTTTCCTTGTAAGGAATAATACTTGGCTGGTTCTGGAATTAGTTTGAAGAGGGCTATCTATTTTATACAAAAATACATAAATACAGAAAGAAAAGAAAAGAATAGCATAAACATAAAGGATTGTATATGTGTTATATGTGTTTTGAGATATATTGCAGAGATGAAGATTTGTCTGGCACACTCTAAAAATGAGAATTCACATTTAAGTTACAGAGGATCTACTGATAGGTTTTTTTTTTTTTTACTATTTAAAACCTCACTTGTTGACATGCAGAACTATTTATTCAGTGTAACCTCTTTTACACTTCATGAAAGGGATATGTGGTCTGGGCAAGCTTCACTTATCCTTGGCCAAAATAACTTACCACAATTTACCTCACTTTGGAACCTACACCAGTATTCTTCAGTTGGACCATGGGTAAAAAAAGGCTATCTGTAAACCCCTCACTATTTACACAAAATGGAATAGAATTTCAAGCTATGGCAGTGAATTTAAACTAACCAAATATCCATATCTCAACGGCTTGGGTTTTCCCCCCAGAATACGTACTTCCTGCAACTGTTCTTTTTTTCCTCTAAATACTAACGCAAATTAGCCCAAAATTAGTCCCAAATTCTTTCTGTATCATCACTTACTACCAAAAAACTCTCTGTCTTGTTAAACCTGTTCCATTTGTCCTTTTCTGACCCTGATTTACCCCAGCCTTATCTTTAATCTGGATTATGCTGATTTTTTTTTAATGTACACAAGGTGTGCCAATGCTAACTGATGAGCTGAGTGCCATGAGATAAAGATAATTAAAAGTATTTTAGCATTCAAAGCCTGTTGCAGTGTAAAATATTAGAGATATGGTGGGGAGAGAGGAAGCATAGAATTTTTTTTTTCTGGAGTTTCTGAAAATGACATAATTGGCCTCAGTTGCTGTCAAAAATAAACTTTGTATAAGTAAGTAACTACGGAAGTCCTACTTTGTATAACGTGATGAGGGAGGAAGTTAGTACCGTGTTAGGAAGGTGATGGGAAGGCACTAGCATGTCAGCATTCAGTAGTATATACTACTATTGGATATATCATAGAATCATAGAATGGTTCGGGTTGGAAGGGACCTTAACGATCACAGAGTTCCAACCCCTCCTTGCCATGGGCAGGGACACCTCCCACTAGACCAGGTTGCTCAAAGCCCCATCCAGCCTGGTCTTGAACACTTCAGGGATGGGGCAACCTGCTCCAGTGCTGCACCACCATCCCAGTAAAGATGTTTGTTTCTTAACAGATAACCTAAATCTCTCCTCTTTCACTTTAAAACAACTACCTCTTGTTCTGTCGCTACAGTTCCTCATAAAGAGTCCCTCCCCATCTCTCCTGTAGGCCCCTTTTAGGTACTGAAAGTCCACCATAAGGTCTCTCTGGAGCCTTCTCTTCTCCAGGCTGAACAACCCCAACTCTCTCAGCCTGTCTCTCACAGGAGAGGTGCTCCAGCCCTCTGATCATCTGCAGCTTATCAAGTTCCCAAGTGTAACTATTATTCAGTATTTTATAACATCATAATAACACTTAATTTCTCCATGACAGACACTGCTGCCCATCACTGAGATCTACCATGAGTGACATGACTGAAAATAGTAATTCAGAGAAAAAAGGAAAAAAAAAAAAAGGCACATCTTTGCAAATACTTGATCTGTCAATCATTTTAGTTAACAATCATTTGAATAACTTTCACGTGTGAGTAACAAACAGGTTTCACAAGCTTACATAGCAAATATAGAATTTTTTCGCCTCCAGAACACAGGGGAATGAGATCCAAACTTCTTCTTAACCAATACTGCCCTGAGTAAACATGTCTGATTTCTTTTAAGTCAGGTGTTCCAGCTGATCTCACATGATAAATTCAAAACTGAAGATAGCAAAGGCCCCTAAGTATTCCCCACAGGAAAAAAAAAATAAAAAATCTTACATTTATAGATAGTAGCAGTGTCTACATTTAGACAGGTTGCAAATACAGTGTGGGTGTTTTTACCACCAGCTGGTCCAACCTCCTACTTGTAATGGTCAGAAGATATAAGAAGTTGGAGAATGGTTTGTCTTGGGCCCCCTGGTACAGAGGGCAGAGAGGACTTCAATTCCCTACATCACATTGCAACATACAGAGCATATATTTACTGCTATTCCCATTTTTTTGTCCTGAGTACCAAAGAACATATGTGTGCCCTGGAATAGAGCAACATTGCTGGCTGATGACAGCGTTAATTAAGCCATCTTATTATCTCTCCTCAATGTTATGGGCAATATATCTTGGAAAAAAAAAAAAGAATAAGATCTGTGCAGGAGGTAGATAACCAGCATATAAATTAATTAGAATAGAAATAGTCATTGTTTCAGGTTGCACAGAGCACTGAGCAATAAATCGCAAGCGATCATACCACAGCCTCGCGGTTGGCATGACAATAAAGGCAATTAGTACCTTAGGGGAGGGTTGGCTAAAAGCAGATGGAAATAACTGTCACTGTTTTCTGGACACTAACGGAGCCTTTTCTTTCTAAATGTCAAATTGCTGTCTGGGGTCATCTCATGAGTGTAAAACAAATGGTGATATCATGACAATAATGTTCGTAGTTCTTGGAGTGGGCCTCAGGAGACAGGGAATCAGCACCTTGATCCTCCCCAGACCTCCTGGTTGACCTTGGACAAGACATTTATATTGGGATTTATTTAGCTGACTTTAACTGTATGTAATGCTGGTGTCTGCAATTGAGTCAGCTGTCAGATGTTTCACGACTCTGGCAAACGAGTTTATGGTGTAATTCAGCACCACTAATGCAATTGATGAGATCAGTCAAACCACTGATGCCATTGATTAGACCCCTCTGCACTATCATGGGAACATAAATACTCAGTTTATGAGTAGCTGCCCACATAGTAAATACACACATTTTATAAGATGAGTCTGCTCCCCAGCATCACTTTCCAAATTTAGAGAATAGGACCACCAGTACTTGACAAAGTGATGTTAAGGAATTAGAGTCAAGACTGTGACGTTTTCCATTAGGGCAGTATGGAAAGAATATCTAAATCTATATGGGAAACTTACTTAAAGCTTTGATAAGAGATTGACTGTTGTCATTTGTTGACATTTTTAACAGAATACTGCTCACAGATCCAAACTTCTGAACTTCATTCACACTTCATTATGCTTACCCATAAGGAGCAGCAGATGAAGCACTTAATATTTATCTCCTCACACCAATGCTCCTATGCCCTGTTTGTCACAAAGCACAACTCATAAGCTCATGCCCATTCAGACCAAAAAAACGGAGTGCAAACTGTTTATGCTGCCTATCAGAGAATGGAAAAGTGTCCTCTTGTTCAGTGTTTCCCACATAAGTTTGCTGTGACTATGCAAAATCTGGTTGCAAACATCCTAAAAGAAAGCCTGGTGTGTGAGTATCTGTATTCTTTTGTTACAACTGCTATTTTATGCCTTCCTTATCTACATTATCCCTGCAGCACTGCCCAAAATTACACCTGAATGGTTAAGGATTTTTTCCTCTGCCTAGCAGCACTTCAGAGAGAGAGGATTTTCTTCTTTCTATGAGATTGTAGGGGAGCTCCTTCTTGAAAACAAAAAGGCAGCGAAAACACTGCAACTATAGGACAGTATATCTGTGCCAAATAAGAAAAAAAAAGAGCAACCCAAAAAGGAGTCATATGCTTATTCTGAAGAAAACACAGAAATACAGCATGTTTACACTGTTTTATTATCAGCCCAAAGCAGTGTGAAGGGCAATGTCATGCTCTACTAGGATCCTGTGGTTTCTTTCTAGTACGCAACGAGAATTATGGAGCTATGGATTCATTCACTGGCAGGAATAAGAAAATAAAAGCAGAAGTTCCCTTCCTAAAATAACCAATGTCCTTTCAGCACGATTATTTGAATAAACTGCAATTAAAACCATTGACGTCCATTTTTACTTCATAGACAGTGTCTGTGTTTTGTTAAGACAAATATTTGATTTAAATAACTGAAAAATGATAAAGTTCAACAGAAAAGCAAGGCTGTTACTTAGAAGAAATCTCTGAACATGTGATCTATCATGAAAAGACATTCCCTAAACACTGTATATTTGACATTACACCAATAGTATCAGTAACAAAATTGTTTCCCAGAGTACTGTGGACCTCTATGATGCGAGGTTGAAATTTTCTATGAATTATTTCATCACTTCGATAACTCTCTGAGACTACATTCCTGAGTGGTAACTACTCATGGGTATTAGAAAGGGCAACGTACCCTAACCCATCTGTTAATAGACTGACAGATCCAAAGCCCTTAACGCGCAGCAAAGAATACATGACTTTGTGAAAAGTGTCAGCAGTTTAGGACTGCCAAACTTTCTTCTACAGGAAGTCAGCGCTCATGATGAAGAAGGAGACCATACGCAGCTCTGAAGGATGTGAAGCTCATACCTACTTTTACTGAAAAAAACCACCCTGGCAGAGTTACAGTCTTAGACCTGTAGGACTGATTGTTAACAGTCCTCCTTTACTTCCACATTGAGACTGGGTGCAGCTCATGCATAACGGTCCAAATTTCAAGCATCACCCCAGGTACAAACAAGCCAAAGGTGAGGTGGGTGGGAGAAATGCTCTCTTTGCTTTCTTTATTGTTGAAGAAAGCGGCTAGCTGGATGCATAGTAAAGAGAAAAAGTCAGGTCACAAAAAAAAAAAAAAGGAAACTATGAGAACAACCTTTCTCCTCGCCTGCAGGAGGAGAGGAACAGAAGAGGAAACACAGTTCAGACTTCCTTGCGCTCTCCAAGAGGTCATTTGTGGATGGCCCTCCATCACGGGAGGTCCCTTTTTTTCGCCCCAGTGAACTGTACTATACCTCAGTAACTAAGCTCAAAAAGGAAAGTTCTCTTCATATGTGGAAACTAACTTGGTAATACTGTATCAATGCCAGAGCAATATGGGCCATAAAAGGGGACAGTACAGATTAATGGATCTAATAAAATTAAAAGAAAAAATGACGTCATTCTCCAATAGAGGAAACCAGGAGAAAAATATTTCAGAGCGCACTGAAATTAGCCGACAAAATATTTAAAAGCAAAAAAACCTTTACATTCAGCAGACACACCATACTTTTTATCCATAAGCATTTCAGTTACCATAACAACTTGATCCATTCACTCAATTATGTCATTTTTATCTCAGCATTTTGGAATTTGAATGGTTTGTTTAAGAACTGCAGTTGCTTTGGGAGCACAATGAAGACTTTAAAATTCACGAAACAGTGAAGACTATGCTTTTTTATTATTACCTTTGGAGAATGAAAGTTTTGTACTTGTTCTCCAAAGGATAAATGACGTATTTAACAAATATTAGCCACATGACTTGGAAGGTAAGCTTCTTGGGCAGAAGTAATCTTTTATCACATACAGCTCAGAGGAGTCTTAATTCTTGCTTACAGCCCCTCTACACAGACATAATAAATACAATGGCATTATAAACACAATAAATATAATGGCATGATAAACATAATAAATGTCATAAATGGCAACAAGAACACATACGCTCTGCTCATATCTGCACTCTAATGTTAAGTAGACCATATCAGTCATTTTAATTTCTGTGAGGAAAAAGCCATTTGCCTGTGTCCTCTGTTTAAAGTACTCTCTGAGTTCATATCTGTGGTATTTGAGAAGACAGGACTAATTTCATGCATTTAAGAAATTATCGTCAACACACACTCCATCAACTGATTCTTTTCTCTTGCATTTGAAACATGCAAAGGGAGGTTGAGACTCTGCAGCCTCTTAAACCTTTGCCTTGTTTTGCAAGCACTTCTAAGATAGTCCTGATGATGAGCAAGGAATGAACAAGCTGGTATAAAAGGTTCTTATTCAAAAAGCAGATCACAGTAAAAACTAATATGTAGGTTAGTTAACTGATGCAAGGTGTGATAATACATACCATGACCATCATCGAAAAATTCTGTTATGGTTGCTGAAGTGCATTTGGACCAGGGTTTGGAAGCATCGATGCTAGTCAGAATGGAGGACATCAGGCGCTTATCTTCCATGGAGCCAAAGTTCTCCTCACAAAATTTAGAGTCATCATGGGAAAGCCCAAGCAAGTGCCCTATAGAAATGAAACAAATAAATAAAATGATGTGACTGTCCGTAACAGAGTTTACAAGCTAGAGCTCACAGTCAAGGTAAAATAAATTGTTTAATTCGTTCTCAAATTTTGAACAGCAGCCCAAAGGAGGCCATCTGAAATGTGATATCTCTGCTTGAAGAGAAAAAAGCTGTGACAGTTTACACCATTGCATATAGCAAGGAAGTAATGCCATCAGCTGACATGTCATCCAACTGTGCCAACTGAAACCTGATGAAGACTAAAGTGAACTGTACTCCTTTGTATTAGTAAACAATTTAGTTCTGTTTTTCCTAATAATCTTCAGCAAGAAAGACTAATACTTCACTCTGTAGAGATATTCTGCAACTGTCTAGAAAAGTCCTACAGTGTCTTTCTAAATAGACAAAAATGCTATTATTTATGGAGCAACTAAACAAGCTATGTAAATTCTTAAAGTGCACTCCTCCCTGAAGTGAGAGTAGTCTCTACAACACACCAACTATCTGAATAATGTTTTCAAATAGTCTCTTCCACATTGACATTCTTGTTTTGTGGGAGGGTGCTTTTTAGTTTTGTTTTGGTTAGGGCTTTAGTTTTGCTGGTTTTGCGTTTGTTTTTTTTCAGGCTCAAGCCTGAACTTAACACTCATAATCTTCAACCTAGGCCAGGAGATGATTAATCAGCCATCCAGGGCCGGACCAAGAGTGCTTCAATGATAGGGACAGAGACTACCCATCAAAGCAACTGCACAGAAATACACCCGATGCCCTCAAAGTGCAGCTGAAGAGACTATTCTGCAATAACTAAAAGCCTTCTATGTACCATCGTATGTTTTGGTATAAATGCTGCAAACTGTCTGTCAGGTGACACAAGTAGGGACACTGATGGCAGGATGTAGTCTAATATCCATAGTAATAAACATGACCATTGTAATAACAATAATAATACCTACAATACAGGCTAGAAAAGAAGAAAACCAGCATTTTTTTTACCCATATGCCTTATATAAAATTGCTCTATGTTGTTTTCATCAGCTTTGGCGGAGATGCCAAGAGGAAAGAGTTGGAGGCATCACTCACTGCCGAGGTCTGTCTGAGATCAGGGAAGTAGCTGTCTGACCATAAGTCTGTGTTAAGGCTGCAGCAGATCAGAAATCAGGGTTTCTGTCCTGTGAGAGAAGCCAAGGTATCGTCTGTCAGCCTTACTCACACGCTGGGTTCTTGACCTAAGGATGGAGCTACAGGAGAAGAGACAAGAGGGCCTTGATCTATCACTTCTAGTTGTACCAGTGATGACTGAGAACAGTCAGTCTGTCTTCTACAGCTACTGAACCCCCACTGCAGGGGAGGTGGGATGGAGAATGAAGAGGGCATTTCTTTTTTTCTCTCTTCCCCTGATGTTCACACATTTACCAACATAATTCCAGTACTATTTGAATAAAAGGCCCAGTAGTATTATAAATGCTAGTAAAAATTTATTCAAGGAACCTAGGTTAACACTGATGAGAGTTAATACTCCTTTCCCTGTTACTGTTGTTGCTAATTGCTATTGCAATGCTCTATCACAAGTACATTGCTGCAAAAACATAATGAATCAAACTTTCACACTGAAGACATGCCTAGTTACCAGTGCGGTTTATATGCAAGATTTGAGCTTATTTTTTTTCTGATAGGTAAAACCACTTTCCTTTGGCAATACTTATTATATATGGGCCAGATAACGCTATTTTTATTCTACACTGAGACACAACTGAGTATCAGTAGGTACACGTCAAGTTCCAATCTGATACAGCACTATATAAATTCTTGCTCTGGAGAGATGACAACCTCTTTGTTTCATTTAAGCCAGTGTTGAGCAAAATAACTCACTAGTAAGATTAGTATTTTGAACCAACGCATTTCTCTGACAGAGTAACCAAATAATCAATGCATCACTTCTAACCTATAGAGCAAATTCCATGGAAGTGTCACAGGGTAAGTGTTTAATGAATCAGCAGCTACTGTGCCAAGGAGGATTAGCTCTGACTTTGCCAAAGTCCTAGACACTGACAATGAGCATCTTCAGGAAATGTAAAGATGATGTTATTTTTGGCTGCCACTCTATACAGTGTTATCACTAAGCTCGCATTCATGCTAATGCACTGAATGGCACCAGGTCACACCTCATGTCTGAGAGCCGCGAGCAGAGCTGACAGGTTAATGAACCTCAACACATGCCTAGTAGCAATATAACTAGAACCGTTTTCTGCTGACGTTAAATAACTCCTTGTAGCATGTTTTACCAGCATTCTCCTAAGTTAAGCAAACATTTACTAGAGAGGGCTTTAGGCTTATCCTCAAAGCCTTAGTTGACAGGTCCCTCGATAAGCGGCACAGCTCCCCATTTAAATCAGGACGGCCCACAGTCTGCTCTGCAAAGCTGTTCAGGAGTTTCAGCCAGTTCCTTGTATTTTACTTGAATCCGTGCACTTGAATATGCATATGCTACCAATCAATTACACAGAAGTATTTGCGAAAAATTAGCCCACTGTGCAAGAAAACACCATGCTGGTTAGACCTAAGCCTCACTACAGCAATCTCCTCTGAGACAACTTGTATGCTTAAAGGTTGCAGGAAGAATGGTCTTATTTTTAATGTCCCGAGACTGCTCATAGTTGTAATACTGCAAGAAATTACTTCACTGCAGCACGCTTGTGAAATAAGGTAATGAGGTTCTGTCAGTGAAAAAGGAGTTTCATTTCTAAGTCATTGGGCTTGGTACTAATCAGCTCTGAGTGAACAAAAAAAGATGGAGAATTGTTCTAAAAAGCTCGGCTGAATAACATCCCATGGCACACAATGCACAGTCCGTGTAGGACAGAATAATAGTTGGGTGCAAACCAGCAATTTGAGAACTTAATTTTTCAATGTGCTCAACATTTTATAGCCCCATTCAGAACTACCCAAAACTCCGCGATATGAAGGATTCAGTCTTGTAGGGCAGAATTCAAGTTTCTTAACACCCTCCAATAACACTCTGCAACAGCCCACCCATTTAAGATACAACTTTGCTCTCTATACGAATCCCTTTCTTGCATAACTGTACTTCACCTTTCCTAACTTTGTTCATCTCACGTGACAGACATCCCACATGAGCCCATAATAAAAGACTCAGACAGGGCCACGTCAACAATGAAGCTTCTGAATCTGCAACTTGGACATCTCTGAGTTTCTCTGCTGCCTGTGACATTCTCTTAATACATTTTTTCTGTGTGCAAGTTCCTCCTTGCATCAACATCATCTCTGGCTTTGGAAAGATGTCTTTGTCTGTCCTACATGTGTTTTTCAGCCCTGGCTCCTCCTGCAGTGCAATTTGTAAGCAACCTCAGCTTAGACTGCCTACTGTCAGAGCAATCTGGTCACACCACATCAAACTACCGAAATCCTAGAGCCAAGCAACGTGAATGTCCCTGGATCAGGCCAGGGAGTATCTTGTGCTTTAGCTTGCTCCTGGCTTCCCTGCCTAAAGGTGGTGTAGTTTCCTTCCCTCTCTACTCTGAGACTCTGGCTCTGTAGAGAATGTAACCGCTGAACTGTGGACTGAAGCTGTTCTTCTTCCTTCCTTTTTCCTCCTTCACATAGACAAAAAAAAAATATCCTCCAGATATAAGAAAGCTTGCAGCCAAATTTCAAGTTTGTCACTTTGAGCGGAGACTGAAAATTTTTCCATAAAATTATTGCAAATTAGTCTCCCTTTCAGAAATGGCTGGACAGTCTCTGTGGAGAAGTTCAGAGTAAATAAATAAAATGAAATGCTTCTCAAGCAGCTTCTCGGCACAGAACATTTCATCCCAAATGCTTTGGCAAATGGACAGGAAACTAAAACAGGGTCATCTTCTGGAAAGTGTCAAGCTACTGGCTTCACCTTTAATTAGAGTACAGCATAACTTCTATAGTTTAGAGTGATAAATGGGGTGAACTGAGGACATACCTCATTAACAGTGTCTACTTTGTCATATTAAATCAGACCATTGTTCTTATGCATGACAAGAACCAAGTCACTTACTTGGCAGACTTCAGCTTTTTGAGGAGAAGCTTCCAAAAGCATTTATGAATCTCTCTTGTCATTTAAAAGTTTTTCAAAAATAAATTTAAAAAAAATCATGACAATAAAGAAGTAGTAAGTAGTGAATAATTTCCAAAATAAATAATTCTGATTGTCTGTACTGGAGCTTCTAAATTAGCCACCAGTGATGTTAGTGAGGATAATAGCTGCTTATAGCATTAAATATATGGATTCTATCTCTCCATACCGATTTGCCACTTAATTTTGTATGCATACTTACAAACACTGTGAATGCCACTTTCAAATAATTTTATGGAACTACAATTTCTAATTACCACAATCTAAATCTCTCACCATTCTAACTTTGCCTTTAAAGGCATTCTGACCAGTCTTAAAACAGATTAAGGCGTATGAAAAATTTCCAATGACTCTTAAAACTGTTTTTGCATTTCATTAAAAATAATCAGAATTCAAAATACTGACTAGCTGGGGTATGACTTTTTTAGCAGAAAAGTGAGAACAAAGTACTTCTACACCTGTGCCCTTTGTCCCTTTGCATCCAAGAATTAAAGAAGGGACACTCCCTTCCTACTTGAAAAGTCTCCCCCACCCCTCACAGGCATGAACATGCTGGTATTAAAACATATGCCTCAGGACTTTAGGGTGGTTTCAGGCATTTACTGGTGGGGTGCTTCCTTTCCTAAGAACCAAAGTGAAAAGGTTACAGCTAATCCTTCAAGTGATCCTGTATGTAAGCATAATTCCAGAGGAAGCTTTGGGCAAAAGCAAAGGCTTGAGGAACACGAATGTTATTAAAAAAGCTTTTAAAAACAATGCCAGTTTTAGCACCACACCATTTTGTACTACTATCAACTTCAAACTGGGCCATTGAAAAAAGAAAAAAAAAAAAAAAAAAAAAAAGCCTCCCAGCAGCTGTGTAAAATGATGACTGATAG